TCTGAAGCAACATAAGACAAGAAATGTTCTTTAAAGGTTTAAGCAACTAATTCATATTTTGAATTTCAAGGGATCTAAGCCTGTTCCTCTGTGACAGCCAGGAGACCTGCAGCTGCAGTCAAATGCTAGAGTACTCTACCTATCTGTTCTGTTAAAAACTTGTGAGAGACAAAGGAAATGTTAATTTTAAGTTTATAAAGAAACAGAAATAAAAAGGCAGTGCGCAATCCTACAGGCTTCCTGACTTTCCTTCAACTTTCAAGGTCTTGGAACATTTATAAGGCTTATGAGGATCTGGAATCTGTCCTTGGAGTCTCTGGAGCTCCTGTTCCTTTGGGCTTGTAAAACTCCGTAGCTCTTAAGGGTCTCCACAGCTCTGGATACTCTTGAGTGATACTGCTTTATGAAACTTAAGGAGCAGCCCATAAGTTCTTTTTTCTTCTCTATTTTTTGTCCTGCAAAAATTACTGAAAGTCTACACTAGACCACAGATTACCTCACATGATCTTTAAATCATGCAAGTTATCTCTCTCTAGTGATCTTTTTGTCAGGCAGAATTATTGAAGGGAGAGTTAGATTTCTTTAAATGCCTTCTCAAAAGATTGTTACAGCATTAATGAATTTATGTATGTATTTATTTAAATGGGTGAACTTAAAGAAGCGAGCAGCTTAGATGGGGTTTGTTAAAGATTTACTAGTAAATGACTGCATCAATAATCCCCTTTATAGAAAGTTCTATCAGTGTTAAACATTGAGTTCAGAAAATTGAGGGTGTTGCTCTAGTTAAAATTGACCAGTTCTATGCCAGAGTGACTCTGGTAGACCTGGACAAAAAAAATAAGCTGACTGTATTGGTTTCGTGTAGAGCAATTACAGGGTGCCACGTTCCAGCAAATCTATTCTAGCTCAAGTGCAAGAACTGTTAAAGAAGCCAGAGAAACATATGGAATTTGAACGTGCAATATGTTCCTTCATTCCCGAAGAGCACAGAGTGGTTTGAACTAACCCAGTAAAGAGATGAGAGAGAAAGATGTTGTGTGTCACAGGTGCAGACAGCTAAAAAAAGCTTCCTTTTGTACCAAAGTCCTGGCAAAAGATATGAGTTTTGTTTAACTACAGTATCCTTGATTCAAAGTTTACCCCAGTAGAAACATCCAAGAATTAAAAAGTAGGTTGCTCAAAAGCTCATCATCATCAACTTATGACACCAGAGTTACATAAAAATGTTATGGGCCAGAATTTCAACTGAAGGTAGCCATTACCTTTGAACTTGTCTGAATGCTCCCTTTCAGAGTTATTACGGAATACTACCCAAGCAGGCACAACCTCAATTATAGAGATAACACAGAGCCAAGTGGCATTATGGCAAATCTTGGAAAACCTGAAAGGAAACTGCATCTGCTCAGCTTCAATGTAGTGATAACTTTTATTTCTTGTTTTAGACAGGGGTATTGAGAACCTCTGTTTGTAGTTCATTATTAACGTTGCATTCTAATTCTCACTCTCACTCCAACTCTAGCAGCTCATTAGGATACTTCATCCCGACTGCTGCCAAACAGCAGTCTTCCCAACTTCAAGTCTTCCCAACTTAACCTTATAGCTGGGAATTAATATTGGCTATTTGGTTGCCACAAGAGAAGATTTAGGTTGCAAAATTATTTTGACAGTTGTAGCAAGTCACTGCTAGCCACCACCTTGCCTCTACTCCTCCTCCACAAAATGAGGGGCACAGGTGTAATCATAGAGCACAGAGAAGTTGTACTATTCAGACCTCTCCCACTACTAGATGAAAATAGGTGATGCATATGACCAGAAAGGTTGGACAATTCAGGTGTAAGGATTACACAGAAAAGTGATAAAGCCCACACAGATATTGTTACTTCCACACAGTTGGGTGCAGAGCAAGTCACCATATCCATCTCCTCTGCAAACACTGAAGTGCAGGAGGTATTTTGGAAAAAAAAAAACATTTGAAAGACTGCAACCTCCACAACTTCAAATGTAATTTTTATCAGGTTACAAATTATTTTCTCAGAAATTATGTGCTCTTATTTTCTTTAGAGATTATCTTGGTATTTCCAAACTACTATTATTTCAAAGTCTCTTTGAAATACAGTACACTGCCCACACCAACCTGGAAACATTTTCATCAGAGTTTAAAAAAAAAATCTCTTCCAAGAAGCTGAACTGACACGTTTATTTCCTAGGACTCAGCTGAGCAAGATTGTTCAGGAGGTACTTAAGCAAGCACAAGTGTAACCCCAGAGAGTTCAACCAGAATAGCCACATCTACATTATATACACACTTGACTACCCTGCACAGAACCCCTTGATGCCTTTTTTACTCCAGTTTGTCTAGGTTCCAGAAACAATAAAATGCACAAGCTTCCCAAGTGACCTCTTGAAGACTTAAGGTAAAGGAACTAAACTTTGAGAAATACAGCACCTCTGAAACAGCTTATGCTTACAGGAGTAGGAAAAGTCAGTTACACACTACAGGACTGTAGCTGAAAAACAGTTCAAGATTATTTTCTTCATCTAGTTTAACCTTTTCAACTCAAGTTCCAATTTCACGCTATCAGAATGTATTTTATGGCTCTTTCCAGTTCTGACCACACACAATGATACTTTACAGGATATAACCATCCACTAACAGAAGAGAGGATATTAAAGCAAATAATGCTATAATTATATCTCTGGGAGTAATATATTCTACTGCAAGTTTATACCAGGAGGACCCTACAGAATACACCAGACTTTTATGTAATTTTTGGATTACTGTCCCCAACCCAAGCAAGCTAACCTACTAATCTAGTTTCAAGCATCAGTTATTGATAAGTGACCTTACTCAATGACCTTTCTCTTCCTTTAGCCTATTATCAAATTCATGTCAACCCTTAGCATTACAAATAGTTTGTGGGTAACATAAGAGTTGAGGAATCTAGTAACATTTCTGCAATTCTTAAATTTTTCTTCATGGGTCATGTCCTTCTTCCCTTTCATGTTACTTGCAACTGACTTCACTGCTCTTGAGCAGAACTAAGAGAAGAATCAAATCAACAAAGTTTTCCTGGGCCAGGAATCAATGGATTAGGATGAATGATTTTCAGCCTTTGCACCACGGTCATAACGTAACTGCAAAAAGTGAAGAGAGCTTTCCAACAATTTTCTTTGTTCACACTACTGCTGGAAAACTATGCAGGATAGACAAACTGGAAAAAAATCAAAATCTACTAGGACTAGGTAAAATCTAAAAAAATCATAATGCATTAGAAAGCCAGTCTACTGGATTCCTCCTTATTTCTTCTTGCAAACTCTGCTGGACCGCAATCCCATGTATTTCCCAGTGTTTGATTCCCTTTTCCTTCCTTCCTTCTGACTCCACAAGTCTCAGATTCTTCTACCACCTTAAATTTCCCTAGAATAACACACTCATTGCCAGGAAGGCAGGCATGATAAATCCAGATTTGTTGCTGAGAACAAAAGAGAGTTTATTCAGAGAGAAAATGAAAGGGAGAGACCAACTGGTAGGTGTTACCTTTACATTTATAAACCTGAAACTTCAAACTAAGGTCTGCATGCTCATGCACTGAGCTCTATCCAGACAACACTGAAGAAAGGTTCCTGCCTTGAACAAGCTGCAATTTAGAACACAACAAAGCTTTCCATCATGTGGTCTTCTCACAAAAATCTGCAAAGATTTCTAAAAGATCCTCGGTGAAATGGAGGCTGACTCTCTCCTTTGGGTATACAAGAGAATGGGGATGGGGATGGGAGTTTTCTCTGAAATGAAAGTTCGCTGGGAACTTTGTCTAAAGCCAGGGGTTCATTTTCCAGCGACATCTCACTTTTAGAGAAAGTAGAGTACAAAGAATCTTGTTTTAACTGTGATGATAGACAGGGTTTGGTCATCCGTCATTTTCTAAAGAAAAAGAACAAACAAATGAAAACACCTAAATTCTAATTCTTATCAGGAACTAGAGTTTGTCTGAGCTGTCTCCACCTTTCTGGACCTGTACAACTGTCCATTAGGCCTGCCAGACACCAGACAAACCTGCCACTTCAATTCTTCGTAGTTAAGTAAATAGAGATGTATATTGTAATTAAAAAAAAAAAATCTGTGTCTTAGAGAAGAATAGAGGACTGTTTCAGAATAAACAAATACCTGACATTATTCTTTACAGCATTAATCTTTTCCAAGACTTTGAAGTTTGACAGTGCTATTCTGCAAATCCCTAGGACGCTGCTTTACTGCTAGGTTAGAAACCTGATGTGGAGATGAAGAGGAAAAAAAGAGAAGGATCCCAAAACAGAGAAGAAATATTTTAGTCTGACTGGTGAGTATTTCTATTTCTTGTTGCCATGAATTTTCTGTATCTTGTAAAAACGGAGGGGATATGACAACTTCCAAAACAAGTGGAAACAACTCAATCCCAAATCTCTTGTTAAAAATCACCTTCCCTACTTGACTTTCCAGAGAAATCTTTCACATTTTCAGTGAGTTCAATAAAAGTTTGTATGAAGTGTAAGCTCATTTTTCAAGCTGTGGTTTGTCACCTCTGCATTTCTTAACAAATTTTCTCTTCCTTGTTCTTTTCTATGTGGTAGTCTTATGACTTTTTAATTATGTCTTGGCCATCTAGCAGCACTGGCAAAAGGTAAAAGAATTCTTGTTAGAGCAAGTATACTCCCTCTTTCATGTGACATAGAAATGCTTACACTTCATTAACCTTTATTATAAACTAGTCACTGGAAAAGTTACTTTGCTAGAATCCACACTATGGTTTCACTCTACAAACCACGAAATGTCAGAATGCTAAATTACAGTGAAATACCGCTCACCTCCTTCTGAACCCGAGATTAATGACACGATGCGGAAGGGAATAGCAGTGCTACTAGAAGTATAACAGGTCACAATCGCTTCTAAAATAGCTCATCAAGAACAGGCAGCAAAACATCACAGATGGTTCCCAGAATTAAAGCCCCGCTTCTCAACTTACCCATCACTGAGACATCATATTCAACCAGCAGAGTCGCCTCCTGCCCGCATTGTTTGAGAATACTCATAGCTTCAGCATGTGTTGTTCCCAACAGTCGGATCCCATCAACACTCAGCAGCCTGTCCCCAGGTTTGATTGTGCCCTCTCTGATGGGACATTAGAGGAATGATCTTTGTTAATATAAGAAAAATTGATTTGGAGATAATACCATTTTTATGCAAAGCAATTCTCTAGAACCCTCCCTGACATCCATCCCTCGTGCCTTAACACTTAACATTTACTTTGACAGTGAGAATGTTCAGAGGGCGCAGTGGAAAGGAAATTGCTTTAATTGGAAAGTCAGTGACTGGAAAACAGCTTACCACATAGCGAAATAATCAAGTCACATTAAATTGCAACTAAGTATAGCGTCTGCTCCAACATATGTTTGCTTTCTGCCTTGTCCACACAACTTTTTTTTTCATACATACACAAACATCTCTTCCTCCAATATTTTCTTAATAACAAACATGAGGTGCAAACACGAGTGCAGAAACAGATTGCAAAACATGAATGTTCATTCGTTTTCTTTTAGAATATCTCTTACTTGGATAATTCCATTTTTCTTTTCTTCCTCCCCAAAAATAATTTGGCTCTAAATTATTACACTGTCTCCTAGGCATATCTCATAATCTATTCAGAATTATAATAGAAAATGAAGTACTAACACTGTCAGCTTAAGAATCATGGAGAAAAACAAGGATGATGGAGAGAAGAAAGCCATGGAACAAAAGAGAGGCTCTCTTGAAACATTTTCTTCTCAATTAACATTTCCAGTGTCAAAAATGTCAACATAGGCTACAGAACATCAGTCTGCTTTACAGAAACTGCCCTTTGAGTTTCTTGAGTGTTTTAAGGACATGAGTGCCATTTTTGAAAATATAGTTTGTACACAGAAATAAAGTGATATAAATCTAAAATGGTATTACATACAAATATGTCCAAAACATAAATTTGTACACAGAAGTTGTCCAGGTAACATTATGTGTGAACTCACATGCAGATATGTACAAATATCTTAACAGAATAATGCAACAACATTCAAACACAAGACAGTATTATTCTGAATTGCAAGAGAAAAAGATGGTAGTGTTAGAGTATAAAAAGCATAATTAAGAGCTACACCATTTGTCTGAAGGATGCAAAAAAATGTGCTCTGATCTATTGCAGGCATTTGTTCTAATTATTTTGGGTTAATTTTTGAAAGCATTTAATGAGAAAGTCTGATGTGCAAGATTCTAAATTAAAGTTCATACACACCATGGCACGCTGAGCCTCTGTGGTTGCCCATTACTGTTCTGGTTGTTATTATTATTATTATTACAACAATTAAAGGTTAAACCATGAATTTCAAAGGACTGAGTTTGAATACATCTATTTCACTCCAAATCTTAACTTCTGTCCCAAATAATTCATCTTTCTCCATTTCTTTCACATGTACTACAGAGAAAGATGAAGTGTACCTGTCAGCAGGCCCTCCAGGTCTAACGCATGTTATTACAACAGGACGAGATTTATTTCTGTCATCATGTGCTCCACCTAGAAAGGAAAAAGTGAGAGAACGTACACCTTCATTTTATGGTTTTTATGAAAGCTCATTTCCAAGAGGCAAACCTAAATCTTGCAGCATGAACCTTTACAGATGGGCTAAAAAGATCAAAAAATGGCCAAACTATTAATATCACTCTCCTCTGAATTTAAACTTAAATAAAATCAACTTACTCTATGTATAGATGAATCTTTAAAAACCATTTATATGGAGTGATTCTTAATAAATATATATTTTTTCTTAGAACTTTTACTCTGCAAATCTGATCTCAGTGTGAACACTTACTGTTCTGTAGTGTTTACAGCACAGAGAAAAAGAACACCCTTATTTTATGTATACTCAGAATGAGTGGCCGCTAGGGAATTTATGTATAATTAAAAAAAGATTTTCCCTGAAGAAACTGATAATGCGTCATTGGGGTACATTATTTAACAGTTCTATATTTTCTTCTGTTCTCTTAAGTCAGTGATAATATTTTAGTTGTACAATTCAGACTATCATCATGATTAATCAGATTTCCTGCCTAATTTATACAAATACTACATGTAAATCTTTTTTAAGAAATATGACCTTTCTGCTGATTTCAGGTAGCAGAAGGTATGTAGCAGAATCTGGTCTTATGTGAAATGAAGTTTATCATGTTTTCTTCAAATAGTTTATTAATTAAGGTTCTTCCGTAATCAAAAATTAGAGCAGTTCATAAAAGCAGTACATGAAGGTATGGAAAAGGTAATACTTTGACTTTAAGAAACTTTAAGCCATAAATCCTTATGTATTTCTGAGTATCATAAAAAATTATCACTTTTTTGCTTATTTAGATAATACAAAGGGTTCAAACTCAACAGTAACTCACCTCTTATTACAAATCCAAAAGTGTTCCCCTCTTTATGTAAAGTAACTTCCACAGTTCTAAAGATGAGACTGGATCCTTGTACAGCTAAAAGAAAAACAAATAAAACAAAAAGAATCCAAAACTTAATTATTAGTATTTTTCTAATTATACATGCAGACTTACACCTTTTACAATTTAAGATAGATATTGGGTCACTAAATTCAAAAGACTGAATTACAAAACAGTCAGACAGAAGACTTGTAATTCAACACAACTCATCCTCATTTTGAGAGAATGTTGGACCAGATATTTTGCAAAGTGCCAATGGTCTGGGAAAAGAGACATAGATGCATGTAACGGGTGAGGAATTTGAGTCCTACTGTTTAAATTATGGCATAATTTTGCTTTTCTTGTAGTTACAGAAGAGTGCTAGAAAATATGGAAATGCACAGTGAGAAAAAAATGGCAAATGAAATTCTTAGAGTTACCTATTAAGTTTGTTATTCAGCTATGAAAACATTTATTTTTATTGCATAAAGCAAAGACAATTGACATTTTGGGGGCGTATCTCTAATATTTCTAATCTCAGATTACTAAATAAAGATGCAAAATGTGTTTTGTATAATAAGGATTTTTCTTTTCTTTTTCAAAATGTAGCTCCCTCATCACTGGTGAGTGTAAGAATTCTTTGACTTAGTCTACTCAGTGTTTTCTCTGTAAGCACTAGAGGAGTGGTGCACAGCTGGATTAGGGGGTGAGAAGCCTAATGCACAGACCAATGCATTTGGGTGTGATAATCCACTTTGTAGAATTTGAAATCACTGCTGTTAAGAGACCAGCAGACAGTTTACTATTAGTTTTCACAGGAAAAACTTTGGCATAGCCTACGAACTCTCTTTTCTGAAGGGAGAAAGACAGTGGGCAAAATTACACGCACTCACACTTCCCACCTTCCAGTCAAATACTGCAAACAGCACAACACACGAAGTTAAAAAAACCACCAAACCAACCCATCTCTATAAAATACATGCTCTGTGAGTAGCAGAACTAATGAAAACTTATGTTATTTAATGTTTTTGCCTGCAATAACCAGAGTTTCCCCATCAGGACACCCTGAAGGGAAAACGGACACCACAGGCTACCCTGCATGTGCTGCCAGCCATGAAAGGTGCCAGAAGAGTGGTGCCCCCTCAGCACTGTATGCCTTTCTCTCTGAGGACTCCCCTACTCAGGGACTTGCTCAAGTGTCTATTTCCAGGACATGTACTGTAATGTACTTTTTTAAAGCTTTTCAATCCCAGTAAAAAAGTTACTGCAGGGACCCAGGAGAACCACCCAGTGAAATCACATAAATCTCATTTCCTTAAGAAAGCAGGTGAAATATGGCCCTTCCGAGCACTGCTCTGTGCTGCAGTAATTCCTGCTACAGCTTGAAGATCAGGACTGTGTTACTGAGTCCATGTGGTTGTTTCCTTTTCAGCTAGAAACACTTTACCGACTGAAAAGGACCGAATTATGGGGAGGAGTGACAACTCTTGCCTTCATTCCTATCAACAGGAAGCGGCCTCGTGTGTAGCTCAAGATGAATCCGTGCTTCTTGCTCTGTTTGCTGTGCCTGTAACCTCCACTGAGGACAGACAAAATCTACAGTTCAGCAGCAAGGATTGGCATGTAGCATCCTTCCACTTGGGCAACAGCCACTCAGGTGGCTGTCCTTCCACCCTAGCCTCAGCCTGGTACTGGAAAGAAGTCCTTAACCCTTACCAACAGCAAAAGGCAGGTGTGAGACAGGTACTCCTATTTTAAACACTGAGGTGGCTCGTGCTGAAACTAGCTGCTGTGACCATTTCCAGGCATGGAAAGAAGCACTAGGGAGAGGGAGATTACCAGTGCTAAACCAAATTTAATCCACCATTATTAAATGACTGACATTTCCCCATGCTGAAACCATAATAGTCCTTTCTCTGAGGAGGCAAGCATGAGAACAACAGTAGAATTTCATTACCTATGGCGGCCAGGAAGGAGGTGCCAGGACTTCACCACATGACTTACTAGAAACCTTCTGTGTGTAACGAAAGCATTGTGTCTAGCTCGTTCACTAGAAGTTAATGGAAACAACTAGATTGCTAATTATCTCCATTAGCTACGCTTGTATGAAGACATCGGAAATTCCAAGGACTTAAAAAAAAGTTATAATTTCTACTGTAATTTAGCATGTCAAAATCCTGTTTCAGTGGACAGGAGCGGCACATATGCTAAAAGGGGATGAAACAAAAGAAAGTCCACTTGAATAAATGCAAACCAATGAATGCTGGTAAAACAAATACATCTGCAGCAAAGTAACTCAGAACTCAGCTAACTTCATTAACTCAGATTCTGTGTTTTAGAACATGAAGTTCTGTTACCACAAGCAAACACTAAATAGAGAACATTCAAAACATATTAAGATGGTTGTCAGGAGGTCCTAAAAACCACCAAATATGTAATTAGACTAACCCTCCAGCTGCTAGAAAGTTGTGGGGAGGTCATCATCTTCTGAATACTGAAGAGAGTGATGGATTTTTTGGCTTCTATTACAACGAAACTCTTTATTTAAGGGAGCATGAACTTCCTAGTTGACTCCAGATTTTTCTGGTCAAACACCAGCAAACCGCAGCTTCTCCTCTCTAGTGAGCAGCATGAAGGAGCACACACCCTTTTAAAGGTGTGACTGATGCAGCTCCTTGGTGCCAGGAAGCCACCTGACACTCACTCCTTCACTTTAGGTCCCAGGTTTCCAACTCTGTTTCTCTAGCTTTCACTTCATTCCTGATAGACTCGATTCGCACTGATTTTCTCCTATAGACACACTGTTATAGAAATAAGCACGTAAGAAAGAGCAAAGGAGAGGCAAGGAAAACATTCAGTAGCATTCTGTGACTTTAGCGTCAGCATAAATTTATATTTTGAAGAAAATCCTGCTCAGTGAAAGCTCTTGTTTCAGTCACACAATTCTTGCAAGTTTATGTATCCTCATGGCCTACCCCTCTGGGTCTTCTGATCTAGAAATGAAATGTTGCCTGAAAGTGACATCAGAAAAGACTGAAAAGTCCCAAGGGATGTTGTTTATCTGGGAGAGAGGAAGGGTGCTGCAAGTGAAGAGACACAAGGAAAAGGCAGAGGCAGAACTAGCAGATATTCACTAGTCTCATGTTAGAAGATCTTACTGTAACAAGAAGGATTTTCTTGCCACAGAATCTACCCAAACTGATTTCCAGTATTCAAAATTGCAAACAAGCAAACAAAAAAAATAAAATAGTGAAGATTGACAACTCTGCTCTGTCATTGGTGGGATTCATGCTTTTAAAACATCTGAAAGCATCCCTCTGTACTGCCATTTCTTTTCTACTGCTTCAACACACTGCAATAAGCCACAGTAAAAAATAAAAATAGAACATAAAAACCCAATCATTACCAAAATGGCTGTCATCAACCATGCCCATCTCACTGTTGACAACATCTGCTATTCTGCATAGGTTTCAGTTTGCTCTGCGATTACTTACAGACTGGAGGCAGCTCATACTCCACTTCTAACACAACCCTTTCACCAACGTTCTTGAGCAGGCTGATGATCTCGTCGTGGCGAAATTTGGTCAGGTTGATTCCATTCACAGATTTGATGTAGTCGCCTACATCCAGCTGGTCACTCCTAGGGAAAAGTACATATTCCTTTTGTTAAAGACAGATCTTCTGGACCAAACTAAATCCTTTAAAAGTACTGTTTAGTGGCGGTAAGAAATACTTTTTCCATTAATCTAGATTAAAATAAGTTGAACTTTCTAACAGAAAGTAGCATTTTAAGATCATAATCTAATCTATCTTGTTAAATACTAAAAGAAGAACATTGTTGCATTATTAATTTCTGATGTACAAAACCAGCTATACAATAAAGGAGTTGGAGGATGGGACTGGTTTGGACACAGGATCTGGGAAGTCATCTTCTTCATGTCCCTATCTTTCTCTCTCTGTCTTTGGAAAGTGTCCAAAACAGTGGTTGCCTTTGCAGTTAACATCACAGCTACAGGACACAGGCCACAGCCCAGAAGCATATGTTCTGCTTGGTTACTTGGAGTGCTTCAGCTCAACCTTTATATTTCAACTTGTCTCACTCATGAATAACAGCTTTTTCTTTCCACTGTAGTAGTAACCAAGGTAGCTATGAATTTAATCTTAAAACCAACTGATGAACAGTTAAAAAAAAGAAATAAATTACGGTAGGACTACCCTTAGTTTTTCCATTTTATTTTTTCCCCACAGTACGTTATGCTACTTCTCTCAAATTTTTGTTCAAGGACAAAAAAATAGAGAAATAAAATATATATAATTTAGACTAAAAAACATTAGTCTCAAGATGACTTCCAAATATCTCATTGGTATTTCTAGTTTTTATCAAAGTAGCCTTGAGCAAAGAGGAGGACCAGCTGTTGCCATTTCCCTATGAGGTTCTCCAGTGTGATGGGCTGCCATTATAGATGCATCCAGTCACATATTTTTTAGTGACCTTTCTGATGTGGTACATATTTTCGAAGCAATCACATCTTGTAATGCATTTTGTGGTTTGAGATGTGGTTACCTAGCAGCGATTCCTCCTTGGCGAAGGTTAGATACTCTTGGTTTCCCATCCTTGTCAACACCCCCCGATACTGTAAGCCCCAGGGTGGTGCCTTCTTTTTTCATTAATTCAACTATTGTTGAGCCCTTGAATTCCTCTGTTGAAAGAAAATTATTGACATTATTAAGATTTAAGTAATAGCACAGATGTTGCCTTTCTAATATGTCATCTACTTCCCTAGAAAATCATTCTGTGTTAATAAGAAATAACATGTACATCTGGAGATTCTTTATGTTACAATTCACAAGTACTGTGCGCAAAGGTCTGCATACAGATAAATCTTGAGACATATGATCTGTAAAAGGTTATTAAAAACCATACCAATATGCTGGTATCCTATATAGAGCCAATAAATACAAAGGCTGGCAATGCTTATAACTAAGGTACTTGTTTCGCATTTTAAGAAGGCTATCTTTTCTCATTTTCTGCTCTCTCCCTCTGACCTCTGTGTTTTATAAAGTACTTCAACTGAATAAACAGAAGGGTAAAAGATGCAAAGATATAACAAAACTATAATTTTAGATTATAGGAGACTCATTTTGAAGCCACTAGTAGGTGTCAGTGTTAATAAAAACGATTGAACATAGCAAGAATCCAGACAGAAATATATCAGATCTTAACGGTTTTATTCCTTATTCTTACACATATATAGTTCCACTGTAAATCTCTGCAATCTCTGCAGAACAGGTACAAAGTAGGTGAAGGGCTTTCATAATTGTAAGTATATATAAAATTTCCATAACATGCTGTCTGAGACACCCTCTTCTGCAGTTTCTCCATTTAGCATAATTGGAAAATGCTAAGTTAATCCCACAGACATCAACAAATGCAGGTCACCTGCAATAAAAAGCCTCAAACTTTCAAAAAGAGATGCCTTTATTGTACATGGATGGATAAGATAATCTACATATGCACAGTTCCAGCAGGACTGCAACTGTTTGGAAAGCCACGAGGCAATCATACCTCATATCCACTGTTTTCAGTCAGAGGAGACCCATTAAAACCACCAGCTGCTCAGGTATTCTGGAAAAATGCACAAAATCCTAAAGATCCATTAAAATTCTAGAAGGATCATTCATTTTTCTGGTCCTTTTCAGTATCAACATGCAGTTTTCAGGTGAATTGGTCAGTTAAAAATATCATATATGCATTGTAAATAAACAGTATGCCTGCACCGCAGAAGTTTGCTGTGCTGGCATAAGATTTAAAGACTAAAATCCAGCCAAAAAACAAGCGAGTTCCTTGTATATATTCAAATGTTCTTCAGTAAGATCTAGAAGTAGCACTATACAAACACCAGCAAGGTTCTTCCAAGATCTTTTCACAAGACTGACAAGATGACCTAATACATTTTCACCTTTATATGAAGAATGGCTGCTCAGAACAAGAATTGCCAAACCTACCATCATCGCCTCTGTATTTGAGGAAATGGTGGCAGACAGAGGAAAGCATTCAGAAGAGCCTCCAGTCCTGGTGGACAGTCCTGTAATCCCTGGTAGCAGTTTTAATGGAGTTAACTACTGAATCTTTTCCAATGTAGAATCATGCCATGCAATGTTCCTGTTCCTTTCCAGGTGGCTGTCAGGCCATTTCCATTCTAGCTGATGATGATCCCACTTCAGTTATTCACATTTTTATCATTATACAGCAAGATTTAAGTGCTTGGGCAAGAATTCTTCTATGCTTATAAAGCTTCTATTAAGACAAAATTCTGCAGTGTATTCAGTCAGCAGCATGGGTTGTCAGAAGCAGACAGCAGCATAGTTACCTGGTGCATTCTTCAACTTGGCTGACACCAAACCACCATTTGGGTACCATTTGGAAGCTGTTGAGATTCCACAATGTTTACTCACATCTGGCCTTCTTAACAGTTCAGAAAGAACAGATGTGATTACCTGCATCTGAACATGCAGACATTACATAGCTGTAGAGAGGCCAAAATGCTGCTTTCAGTTTTATAAAAACCTGTAAGTATTCATAAGGATCACAAGAGTTAGACATGGTACTTATTGAAACCAAAATTACTGTATATTTGCACCCATGATGCAACCTGACGAGCTTTGCTACTGAGTGACACATGTTTATTCAGAGTTTACTCAATCGTGAGATCTGGAGTCAAAAGGAGAATTCTCCTCTCACTCCATCTCCCAGACGAATCCTTCCTTTTTACTTCTCAGTAGTGCAATCTGGTTCTCAGGAACCATCTAAGATTTTATTTTTTTTAATGAATATTTTGCCAGAATGTGTATATGGAACATCAACAATGCATTGCACATGCCTAAGTTTTTGCCACAGCACAATACTGTTATGTGCTTTGATCTTTTATATAGGTTCTGAGTTTTCAATCCAATTCTGGGAAATACTCTGCTGCCTGAAGTGACATGTGGAACAGATGATCCATGCAGTATTTTAAGCTGGCTAACAGTTTTACAATTCCCTTCAACTACTGATATGGAAAGTGATGACCAGGCTCCTTCCTGCTCACCATTCTGACAAATTTCTGTATACCTCTGCCAACAGAACAGCGACTTCTAGACACTTTTCCTTGGTAGGCAGAAAGGAAAGATGCACCAACACTGCAAGGGAGGTGTGGTGTGAAAGGTTCATTGCTAACTGACAGATAAGGTCATCTAAGGCATGCACAGTAGTTTCATTAGGTTTGTTGCTCTGAAGGATTTTGTAGTTTTTGTTGTACATAATCATATCAGGAAGAAATCAAACTACCTAAGCTGGTTTTGCTTATAAGAGACTGTTATCCCTGGAAGGGCTCTGAACCAGGTCCATTTGATACCCCTCTCTCTCTGGTTTTCATCTTTGCTTTCTTAAATCGCACATGATTACTGTTCTTATAATACTATATATTACATGTTTACTCATCTGCATTGCTTTGGCATTATTATTACAGACTAATCCCACTGGAGTATTATTGAAATGCCCAATATCAGAACAACCCTGGGACTTCATTACCAATCCAACACGCAACTGCATCAAGGTCAGTCTCTATTCTCTAGTTAAGACAATCCTATGTTACTCTTCGTGGGTTAAAAATCAAACTACTTCATGTATCACCTCACTCACAATTCATTACTCATGCCAACCAGCAAACTCCTACTTAGTTAGAAGATTCTAGAGTGTGTTCTTTCCTACATGTACTCCCACATTGCTAATAATATTAGCATAGCTAGCATTAGAAAGGAAAGCAAAGAAGTTATTTCCAGATTTCTTATAATTTACAAGGTCACACTGGGACCTGCCTTCCCTTGGCTTGGGGAGGGTTTCAGGACTGCCCCAGGACTTGCACTGCTTCCTGCAGTTGCAGGGGCAATCCCAGGTACATAGCTGTCTATGCTGCACCAGTCACCCTACAGCTCTCTTGGCATCCACCCACCTTCAGCATGGGGTTCAGGAATCCCACTGAATACTGGAGATGGCTTGGCAAGGGGAGTGCAAAGATGCATACTTGTACACACACACATACTTGCACACACAGGCAGGCATAAGATGAAAAAGGTTCTGCTCTAAAGAGCTTCCTTTAAATTTCCAGTTCTGAAAGGTGAAGCACACGCTGCAACTGAATTCTAAAGAAAACATTACACTGCTGCTGTTTTCTAAATTCTCGGTCCAGATGCTTCTCTTAGGCTTGCTGTTGCAATATCATAACTGCATGTGCCTGACTTGCAGCCAGGTCAGCTGGTGTAGTAATACTATGACCTGCTCTGCAATCTGGTAGACTATAGGGATAGTCAACGTAGCACAAGAAAGCTTTAAAGATAAGCAGATGTTCAAATTCAAGCCTGGGTAAAACTTATTGTGAGAAGATGAATACATGGAACAACTTGCAGGTAAGTAAAATCCAAGAAACACCATGATTGATTTTTCTTCAAGAATAATAGTATAATAATAAAGCTTCTAGTATTTCATACATCAGAAGACTTTTTGTCATTTTCTACTTTTTGATGTACATAAATAATATCTTTTAATGAATAAAAAGCATGGAAAATTAATTCTAATGAGATTTATGAACCTGGAATATATTCACTTCTTCAAAAAGAAAATGAAATACTAGATGACAGAAGAGATTTTTTCACAGACAAATATTTGAAAGCTGAGAGAACTCTTAATCCAAAGTTTTATTATTTATTTTCTACATTACTACAATTTTATTTCTTAATTTGCATATTAAAGTAAAACTGAAAAATATTTGCCTTCCTTCCAGATACTGAGTCCCTTCTGTGAAAATTTCATTTTAAAATCCAAGAAAATGCCTAAAATCTACACAGTCAGGTCAAGTGCTTACTTTTATCCTCCACCTAGTGAATAAGACTGTTCAGTGCAACTGGAACAGGGTATAAATGAAACTTAACCTAAAAGTAAAAAAATACTTGCTGTTATCGATATTTTCCCACCAAACCTATACTTAATCAATAAATAAGTAATTGGTAAGTCTCTTGAAAATACAGTCAATGCTCTCCTTGAATGAATTTTCCCCTGTATGTCAGCAGAAATTCTGCAGCGAAAACATTTTGCTTTTCATCCTAGTAGGCATCTCATGGTTTAATAAAAAAATCACATAAAGTCAATTCTTAAGAAAGAGATAGCAGTTTGTTATACTGGAGACATCACACCTACTCCATGCTTCGAGTCCTGCGGGTTGCATATTTCTCTTAGTATGACAAGACGGCTGTCAGGAGATGATGAATGCACCATTCCTCGTTGCCCTTTTCCTGACTGGTTGTCGCTAACTTCTAAAACACCTAAATTTCTATTAAAAACAGGCAACCCCCCCCATAGGTGAAGAGAGTCTGAAAACATGGAGCCGATCGCAGCCTATGCTGTGCTGTATTCTCCAGGCTGTGGAGGGACAATCCCCAAACCAGTCCTAGTTTGGAACCCAGCAATCCACAGTGGAAGGCAAACGAGTCTGAAGAGCAGCAGAGCACATCTGAAAGGCACGATATACTGCAGTTACCAACGGGACCGTAAATTTAAAACACTGTCAATGCAGGTTGTCTTGGGTCGGCAGACAGGTTAACCTGTATAAATGTACAGGTGAAATGCTGCACCATTTTCAGTGAAAGCAGAGGAGGTTGGTAAGGC